CTTCAAGTTGAAGTCCTCCAAAGCTTCGCTGGCTGGGGAATTCTGGGAGTTGAAGTCTTCCAGGCTTAAAGTTGCCAAAGTTGGAGAGCACCGCTTTAGGGTGTCGGAAGTGGTCAATGGCCGCTGTTTTCTCTTTGAGCATGGAATAAGGACCAGCAGTGGGTGCTCCCTAAAGGGATCAGAGCCTAAAAAAATAATGAGTTTGACACCCCTGCCTTTAGACGCATCCTTCTCCCACCTGTAGCACCGCTCGGCTCTCCAAGGGCAGCATCCTCTGGTTCTCCAGCTTCTTCCAGGTCCCCAGTTTGGTCCAGCGCACCACAGCCCTGGGGTCCCCGTCCGCCAGGCAGTCCACGCTGATGGACTTGCCCACTTTGAGCTGCAGGGGCCCCTTCGGCACCACCGAGACGGTAGGCAGCCCTGGGAGGTGGGAAGAGAAGGGCACCCGAGTTTGCCCAGGCTCTTCGGCAGACCTTCTGCCCCGGCGTTCCTCCAGAGGCCCACTTTAGCGTCGTTTGGAGGAGAACGAAAGGGGCCCTCGTTGTCCCGTAGAGACCCTCAGCCTTGTCCCGTTTACCTTGCACCAGGACGTTGACCAAGCTGTTGGCAATGCCAAACTGGTTGGAGACCACACAGCGGTAGGCCCCGTGGTTTTCCAGACGGGCGTTGGAGATGGTGATCGCAGAGCCGTTAGGGCTGATCCTCACGTTATCTGCAGAGGGGATGGAAGGAATTACCGGGGGGGGGGGGGGCGGCCCCCCAAAACCGGCCCCCCCCCCCCCCCACCGGCCCCCCCGGGCACTTATTAGCCCCCCCCGAACCTCACCTAACAGCCGGTTGTTGGGCAGCTTCCAGGTGATATTGAGAGGTGGGGTGCCTTTGTGGACGTGGCACCTGAAGGAGGCGTCTTCCCCTCCACGCACCACCACGCTGTGGGGTTCGATGGAGATGATGGGGCTCTGCAGACCTGCCGGGAGAGAGCGACGGTGTCCCCCCCTGGAGTCCGAACACCCTCCGCCCGCACACTCTCGCCCCCCCCCCCGCCGGGATCCCAAAACGTACGGGAAGTAGGACTGGTGTTGGCTACGACGGAGACCACGAAAGACGCCTCTTGCGGGACGCGGCCTCCACTCACACGGCAGACGTATTCGCCAGAGTCGGCGGGGGTGAGTCGGACCAGTCGCAGGTGGGCATTGGAGATCGGGGGGGGGGGGGGGGCGATGTCTGTTTTAGTAGTTGTCATTAAAAAAGGGGGGGGGAGAAGAAGGAAATCTGGAAAAGCAGTGCAGCAGTTTGAAAGCGGAAGTACATTCCAACTCTTTATCTTTAAAAGATTGTAACTAAAATACCAGAGCTTTTGCCTGGGAATATATTTAATTGGAGAACGGGAATGATGAACATGCTCAATTGGAGAATCTGATTTATGAGACACCCAGGGGGGAGAGTGGGAACAGGGTCACAGGGGACTGTAAATGACGTATACCAGAGTTGGCTTCATACAAGGCAGTGCCAATATGTCGCTTCTAATAAAGTTTTTTGAAGTTTGGCTCGAGAATCATGATTTCATTAGGGCGATTGCTGGAATCCTGACAACTGCCTTCTTTCCCCCACCCGCGGTGGACAAACTCGCCCTCTACCTGGTGACCTGCAGGCAGCTGACCCTCTCGCCGATACCAGGTGAATGTGGCCTGGGGCTGGCCTGGAGCAACGCATGACAGATCCAGGGTCTCTCCTTCGACGGCGGAGGAGGAGGAAGCCTCGATCCTCAGGACTGGAGCAGTTCCCACAGCTGCGTGAAAGGAGGAGAGAAGGATGAGCTGGGCCTCCTCCTCCTCCAGCAGGTCTGAATTGCCAAGAGGCAGAGAGGGGAGCAGAGGAGCCTTACGGTGGGAGGGGCCTTCGCTGTCCTGGATGGTGACCACCAACACCGCCTCCTGGACGGCGTTGGGGCTGATGACGCGGCAGCCGTACTCGCCGGAGTGGGCGGAAGAGACCTGCGGGATGCGGAGGCGAGTGCCCGAGACCTGCCAAGGAGAGGTAAGTGAGCCACGATCGGCATTTGGCTCTCCTGCTGGGCCTTCCTTCCCCAGAGAGGAGTTGTTGTGGTTAGCCGGCAGCAGGTGTGGATGGCTGGAGGAGAGAGATGACTCCTGATAAGGGGCCAGGACCACCAGGGAGTGGACTGTTGCCTTTAGAGATTGTGGGGGCTGGCAGCAGTGACGAGGAGGTTCCCGAGGAGCCTGTGCCAAGTATGCGTGCACGAAGGATTACTCAGAGGAAAGAACAATTACAGCAGCACAGGCGACTCGGGAGTAAGGCTGCAAGGTCATGGCCCCTCCCGCAAGAGGATAAAAAGCCAGGTTTGGAAAAGCGTTCTTTGCAGACAGCAAAGAAGCTCTGAAGCTCAACTGGTGGATATCTTAGTTCGTGAATCTTGTAAATTAGTTCTTATCTGTGGGTTTTTGGCAGCCTTGACAAACAACTTGGCAAGGCTCTTTCTTGTCGGAGATAATTGTGGGAAAGCAGCCTTTTATCTGTAAAGGAACAGCATTCGTTATTAAACCTTAAAAGGTGGGGGCTGCTGCCTTTGTCTGTGTTTGGGAACTGGGTTGGGTCAGAACAGGAGCTGGGAAGAGTGAAAGGATCGAGCTTCTCCCCCCCGCTACCTGGTGGTTCGGTGGGAGGGGTCCCCCTCTCTTGAACCAGTTGACTTTGGGGTGCGCCTGGCCAGCCACAAGGCAGTTCAGCTCCATGGTCTGCCCCTCGGCGAGGGACGAGGAGGACGATTCAATCTGTATCGGTGAGATCACTCCAGAAGCTGAAGAGAATGAGGAAGATCGTTGGATTGCATCCCCTGCTGCCCGGCTCCCCAATTTCCCTTCCCTCCCCTTTCCCCTCTGGCCACAAGCTTCCCGGGCACCTACTGGGTGCGCCGCCTGAGCTGCTGGCAATGGATACGATGGTGGACGTCTCCAGTCGGCTGGTGCCATCGTTCACGTAACAGACGTACTCGCCCGAATCGGCCGCCGAAACTTGCGAGATCCGGAGGCGGGTTCCGAAAATCTGTTTGGGGCGGGGGGAGCAAACAACCAAGAGCTGATTTCTTTTACTAACTGAAGCCATTTTCCACACACACACCCCTCCTCAGATTTCCCAAAACTTTGGTGTCAAGATTCAGCGCGAGAATCCCAAAAAAACACTCCTGGTTCATTCTCTTTCCGAAAATCTTACTGTCCCAAAGCCCACCATTGCTCAAATGCTGCAGGAATCTCTGCCATGTCCCCTTACCTGACTGTGGACGGGGAGGGCACCCTCACGCTTGTACCACATGACCCTGGCTTGAGACTGGCCGGCTACCAGGCAGTTGAGGTCCAAGGTCTGCCCCTCGGAGATGACTGCGGAAGAACTATCGATCCTGATTGGGGCAGTGACACCCACAGCTGGAAGAGCCAGGGGCAAGGAGAAAAGAGGGGTCCTGTCAAGACTCAAAGCGCACTCGTGCTGCTTTCACTTTTACTGCTTCTCAGCTTGCCAACGAACTGGGGGGGGGGGGGGGGGGAAGGGGGAAATTGGAATGTGGATTGTAACCAGCGAGCCCTTAGCCTGTGAGAACCAAGGTCACTTCAGCAGGTGGTTGCCAGACCTTCCAGGGACTTTCTCATAACAATATTGTGACACTTAATTGGACAATGCGACCTGCCCTAATCGGAGGGAGGGAGGAATCTATAATTATATTGAATTGCGCGGGAATTAGCCAGATCTGGTTTTGCTTTCCTTCCGTGCCGTAATGATGTACTCAATAAAGTTTTGCGTTAAGAGATTGGATCGTCTCCGTGGGACCTGTTGGGTTGGGTCCCTGACAGATCCATTTCAACGAGGGAGACCCCCAGGGAGCAGGCAATCACACCCTCCAGCCCAACAACCGTAGGGAGGGGAACTTACAGGGAGAGCCCGTTTGACCTGTGATGGTCACCACCAGCGAAGCCTCGTGAATGACCGAGCCGTGGCTCACGCGGCAGACGTATTCCCCAGAGTCCGCTGGTGAAGCCTGTGGGATGCGCAGGAGGAAGCCAGAGGCCTTGGGGAAGAAGCGAGCCGAGGGTGAACGGGGATGGGACGCACCTTCCAGGCGCTGGCCTCTTCCCCGCAGCACCTGGAGGTGTTGCTGGGAGAAAAAGGCCCTCTTGGCGAGCCCCGGATGGGCGGTGCCATACCTGGTGTCTGGCAGGAAGGGCCCCTCCTCGCTTATACCAGGTGACTTTTGCCTGCGGCACAGAGGCAGCCACGATGCATTTCAGGTCTAAGGTGTGGCCCTCGGAGAGCGCGGTGGAAGAATGCTCGATCCGTACAGGGGGGATCACCCCAGCGGCTGCCATGGTCACAAGAGAAGAAAGGTCAGGGCTGTTGCAACTCCTCACCCCACACCCAGCCAGGGAGAAGCCAAGTCTCGGAGAAGCCCCTCAGTTGCTGCCTTCTCTCCTCCCAGCTGACCCACGTAAACCTTGGGGAGTCAGAGAAGCAGATCCTTTAAACCAGAGGTCTCATTCTCGCGGCCCGCGGGCCAATTGCAGCCCGCAGGACGATATCCTGTGGCCCCCACCGTGATATGAAAGTATAATGTTAGTGCGGCCCGCAGGGGGAATGGACCTCTGAAGGAAGTCCCGCCCGCCGTTCCTCGTCGTGGCTGACATTCGGTGCTAGGCTAAGCTACACCGACTTCATGCACACTACACTTGTAACAACAGTGTGGCGGATGACGAACAGTCTGCTAGCAGTCGCCTTTTTTTGCGGTCGCCATTCCGGTTCTTTCTACCATCAACGGATGCCACGATCAAACGCAGAGAAAGGCGACTGCTACCGGGCTGTTCGTCATCCGCCACGCTGTTGTGACAAGTAGAAGCGGAAATGACGTCACGCGTCGAGACGTTCTCCATGCGTCGCTAGCTGGCTAAACACTTCTATTTTTTTAACGTTTTTTGTGGAATCCTTTAGGCGGCCCAGCCTCACCCAGACTCTGCCTCCAGCGGCCCCCAGGTAAATTGAGTTTGAGACCCCTGCTTTAAACCAAGGGTTCTTCAAACTTGGCACGTTTAAGACTTGTGGACTTCAACTCCCAGAGCTACCATGACTGGAGGAGGAATTCTGGGCGTTGAAGTCCACAAGTCTTAAATTGGCCAAGTTTGGAGACCTCTGATTTAATCCGTTAAAGCAAGCGTCTTCAAACTTGGCAAGTTTTAAGATTTGTGGACTTCCACTCCCAGAATTCCTGAGCTGCCATGACCGCAGGAGGAATTCTGGGAGTGGAAGTCCACGCGTCATCAACTTGCCAAGTTTGAAGAAGAACCCTGATTGAAACGTTCCAGGGTTTAGGATTCCTTTCAGGATGCTGTAACAGCTAGTCCTCAACTCAACAACCACAACTGAGCCCGAAAACGTATGTTGCTACAAGTGAGACCACTGGTGTGGAGTGAGCTTCGCCCCACTTTACGACTTTTCTCGCCGTGTCTATGGAGTCAATCACGGCACCGGTTAAATGACTAACGCTGTTGCTAAGGGAATCCCGCTTCCCCACTGGTTTGGCTTGCCGGATTGTCGCAAAAAGAGGATCACTCAACACCCCCGGGGACACTGCAACCGTCGTAAATATGAACCAATGGCCAAGCATCCCAGGGATGTAAATCCCAGGGACACTGCAATGGTCTTTCAGTGTGAAAAACGGTCATAAAAGTCCCTTTGTTCAGTGCCGTTGTTAACTTTGAATGAATTGTTGTAAGCCAAGCGCTGGCTGCATTCCCTCCCTTGGTTTTTTTTCCCGCTGCCAACCTTTGCGCCCCCCCCCCCCCCCCCCCGGTTCAACCTTCTCGGTTCTCTTCCCTTGCGAGCGGCTTCGAGAGAAGGCAATCCTTACGGAAAGTAGGGCTGCCCTCCTGTTGCTGGACGGTGACCAAGACAGAGACTTCGTGGCTGGCGGCGTCGGAGCTGACCCGGCAAACGTACTCTCCGGAATCGGCGGGAGAGACCTTGACCAGCCGCAGGCGAGTTCCCGAGGCCTAAAAGAGGATGGCATCCATATCAGCGCGTCTAAGTTAACCTCTGCTCTGCTGACTGTGAAGTATGGAGTTATATATTTTACACCGGAGGGGGGAAAAAAAAACCCACAATGATTCTAAATCCCTTTAAAAAAAAATAATGAAAATAAGGCCTTTCTTTTGTATTCGGAGCGAGGAGACGTTCGCGAATCCTCGGTTGAAAACGATGATTATTTGAACAGCAGCCTTTGCGGAGTTGCCTGCCGTAGGTGCCCAGCAGAGATTATACTTCCTGAGACTTTCTCAGGAAACAACCACTGAATGAAAAACTGCTGGTGACCTTCTACCGCTGCACCATAGAGAGTATCTTAACTTACTGCACCTCTGTAGGGTTTGCCAATTGCATGGTGGCAGATAGGAAAGCACTCCAGAGGGTTAATGTCATTGCCCAGAGGGTCATTGGTTGCCTTCTCCCCTCTTTGGAAGAGCTTTTTAGCTGCTGCTGCCTTAAGGAAATTCAAAACATCCTCAAAGATCCATCTCATCCTGGGCACCCTTTTTTTTTTTTTGAACTATTATCATCTGGCGGACGGTACAGGACAATAAAAACAAGGACAAATAGGCTGAAAAACAGCTTCTATCTAGAATTCTACTGTATAGTGCAATATTAATGCAGTATCAGGGATTTTCAGTTCAATTATATAGAATGTGATGGATGTGTGTTTTATTTTTATACTTATAATGTACACTGAAGATGGCTTTTAATTTTGTTGTAAGAGGCGCAATGACAATAAATTAAACTAAAACAACTAAAACCAATCTAAACTAATCTAAACTAAACTAACTTAAGGGATTCATTTTTTTTTTACTACCGGTTCTATGGGCGTGGCAGGGGAACGATACTGCAAAATCCCATTCCCTCCCCACCCCACTAACCTGCTTTCCAGCTCCATCCTCCTATGCAGGGCAACAAAAGAAGACCCAGCCAATCAGCTGGGACTCGGGAGGCAGAGAATAGATGGAGCTAGGGCAAGTCAGAGGTGGTATTCCGAACTACTCAAAATTTCCACTACCGGTTCTCCAGAACTGGTCAGAACCTTCTGAATACCACCTCTGCCTAAAACTAACCTAAAGTTAAACTAAAACTAACCTAAAACTAACCTAAAATTAAATTAAAACTAAACTAAAACTAAACTAAAACTAAACTAAACTCAAACTAAGCTAAAACTAAGCTAAAACTAAGCTAAAACTAAACTAAAACTAAATTAAAACTAAACTGAACTCAAACTAAACTCAAACTAAGCTAAAACTAAAACTAAACGAAAACTAAACGAAAACTAAACTAAAACTAAAACTAAACTAAACTAAACTAAAACAAAACTAAAACTATACTCAAACTAACCTAAAACTAAAACTAAAACTAAACTAAAAGTAAACTAACAGTAAACTAAAACTAAACTAAACTAAACTAAAACTAAACGTCTATCTCAGAGGTAGATGGAGCTCGGTTCGTATCCAGACTAAGGCAACCAGACTAAAAGCCACCCGATGCTGTTTCCTCAACAGCAACTCCAGACTCCAAAGTCCAAAGAGCGTTTTCCAGCTAATCAAACTGCTTTGAAACTGGCGTGGTGCCCAAGAGCCAATTTGGGGCACTCTGCGGGCAAGGAGGTGCCTCCGAGACCGTGGCTTTTAGCCCCCAAACTGCCCAAGGGGCTCCAAAGTTGTTATCCGCTTGCACTTGTTAAGGTTGTGCCATGCCTGTACCTGGTGGTGGGCTGGCAGGGCTTCGCCCCTTCTGTACCAGGTAACCAGGGCCTGCTCCGGATGGCCAACCACACAGTCCAGCTCCAGCGTTTGCCCTTCAGCTATGGCGGACGAGGAGGCCTTGATGCTCACCGGGGGAGCCACGCCAAAGGCTGGGGAGAGCAGACGGGCGGGTGAGGAGACCGCCAGCCCCCAGCAAGCCCAGCCCTCCTCGCAGGGAGCCCCCACACCTACTGGAAGAAGAGCGGGTGAGGGAGATGAGGACGGAAGCTTCTCGGGTGAGGGAATCCAGGCTGACGCGGCAGACGTATTCCCCCAGGTCAGCCGGGGAGAGCCGGGGGAGGCGCAGGTGGGAACCGGACACCTGCGGGGTCGAGGAAGAAGAGACAGTCGGCGCGACGATGGAAGGGATGCTGTAAACCAGGGGGCACCAACCTCCAATCCATGGACCAGCCACAGGGCTGCAGCATGCCAGAAACCGGTCCGTGCAAACAAGCATGGAAGACCCGTCTGCGGGATGCGGGAACAGCACACGAAACCATGCGCTCCCCGGTCCGCGGAAAAGCTTCTCTCCACGGAACTGGTCCCTGGTGTCTGAAAGGTTGGGGGCTGCTGCGGAAAACACCCCTCCCAGAGGGAAGCGGTCTCTGGACAGCGCTTCCCCCTCCCCCAGCCTCCAGGGGCTCCCTTACCTGGTGGCCGGCTGGCAAGGATCCGCCTCGTTTGTACCACGTGATGGTGGCACCGGTTTGGCCGGCCACAACACAATTCAAGTCCAGGGTTTGTTCTGGGACAAGGGAGAGTGACGAAGGCTCGATCCAGAGTGGAGGCGTAACTCCCGAGGCTGTGAGGACAGGAGGAAGGGGCCGACACATCAGTTAACAGACCTCCCCCCTCCTGCCAGCCCTCCCCTATAGGCTTCCGTGGGCCTGGTTTGAAGGGGAGAGCTGAACTCCCCCTGGATCTGAACCCGGGTTCAGAGGTGGTCTTCAGCAGGTTCTGACCAGTTCTAGAAAACCGGTAGTGGAAATTTTGAGTAGCTCAGAGAAGCGGCCAATTATCACCTCTGGCTGGCTCCACCCCATCTATTCTCCATCTCCCATTGAGTCCCAGCCTGGGTCTCCTACAGGAGAACAGAGCTGGAAAGCGGGTTAGTGGGGTGGGGAGAGGATGGGGATTTTGCAGTATATCCTTCCCCTGCCACGCCCACCAAGCCATGCCATGTGTCAACTCATAAAACATATTGTATACACGTTTTATAGTTGTCAACAGAAAAGAAGGGATGGGAGTTTCAAAGAGCAGGCAGCAGCGTGGAATCGAAAGTACATTCCATTCATATTTTCTTCAAAGACTGATTAGATGACTGAAGCTTCTGCCGTGCAAAAATCTAATTGGAGAACATGATTGATGACTCTTGGCTGTGGACGTGTTTCGTTGGATGATACACCCAGAGGGGTGGGGGGAAAAAAACAGGACACACCCAGAGGAGTGTGGGGAATCAAGGGTGACAGTGAATTATGTGTCTCAGAGTCGTCTATGTCCAGGCAAATGCCAGCATGTTAACTTCTAATAAAAGAAAAGTTTTGGGAGTGTGGCTTGAGGCTCATGATTTAATTGGAGTAACTGCTGGAATCCTGACACCACGCCCACCAAGCCACACCCACAGAACCTGTAGTAACAAAAATTTGAATCCCACCACTGCCTGGGTTCCCCTTAGGCTTGGCCTGCCTTCTTTGGCCCGTCCATCCTGGACCTATGAAACCCACAGGTTCCAGATCTTAAGCCGGGACCTGAGCTTCTGACTCACTTTTGGAGCTGCTGTGCACGGTGATCACTACGGAGGCCTCTCGAACGCCGCCGCTGTCACCATCCGTCACCCGACAAACGTATTCTCCCGAGTCGGCTACTGTGGCTTTTAGAATCCTCAAATGGAGACCGGAAATCTGAAAAGAGAAGGCAGTCGAGAGAGGCGGTGAGGACCCCCAAAAGAGAGGAAGAGGCGCGCGCTCTAGCCAAGTGTCTCCCGCCGTGTCCATCATGCCCGTACCTTTCAACTCATAAAACATTCCTATGCCTGTTTTAATAGTTGCCATTCAAAACAAAAAACAAAAAAAACGGGCGGGGGGAGGAAGGAAATCTGGAAGAGCAGTGCAGCAGTTTGAAAACAAAAGTAAGTTCCAACTCTTATCTTTCAAAGATTGTAACTAAACTACCAGAGCTTTTGCCAGCGAATATGTTTCATTGGAGAAGGTGAATGAGGACACCCAGCCCATGAAGGTGCTCAATTGGAGAATCTGGTTTATGGGACACCCAGGGGGGAGGGGGGGGGGAAACAGGGTCACAGGTGACTGTAAATTACGTATGCCAGAGTTGGCTGCATAAAGGGCAGGGCCAGTATGTCGCCTCTAATAAATCCTTTGAAGTTTTTTGAAGTTTGGCTCGAGAATCATGATTTAATTAGGGCGATTGCTGGAATCCTGACAGTACCTTGCGATTAGCTGGGAGGGGCCCTTCCCGCTTGTACCAAGTGACTCTGGGCTGCGAGAGGCCAGTGACCTGGCAGGCAAGGTCCAAGGACTGACCCTCGGTGATGGAAGAGGAGGCAGAGTCGATCCGGACTGGCCCTGAGGAAGTCAGAAGATGGGTCAGCTTCTCTCTCTCTCTTGCGATAATTTTTTTATTTTTGGATACATCAAAAATATAAGTGTACAATGTGGTTCCCTGGCGTCTTACATTTTGATACAAATATTCCTCTTGTTTAATATTGTTGACAATCTTTTAAAATTTGATATCATTACATATATTTGGTTAAATAATCATTCTTGATTATTCAATATTGCAAAATGTTATTTTTGTGTCAATCTCTAGATTCTTCATCTCACTGCTTTCACTTCCAATTATATGTTAATAATCATATTGGCAGTGTTTACCAGATTATATAGTTCTAACAACAATTCACAAGTTTATATTCAATTATAATTTTTCATTGTTTATCCCCTTTTTCATTTCTAAATATGCCACTATTATATATATATTTTTAAATCCCCTTTCTAGTCACATTTTGATACAAATACATTAGCATTCATCCTATTTACGTTTAACAGGTTATGCAATTCTAATAATAAGTTGCTTTTATTAAATTATGAGTCAGCTTCTCTTGCCCACGAATTCCAGGGCTCCATTCCCAGGAAGGCAGACAAAAAGGATGGCCCGAACCTTGCTTTCTTGTGCTCCGGTTGGCGACTCCTGGCTCTCCTTCCCACGCCCAGGTTTGGTCTTTGGCCTTACCTTGGGAGGAGGTGTGGCTCTTCTGGATGGTCACCTTGATGGAGGCTTCCTTCGGGCCGGCTCCGTTGCTGATTCGGCAGACGTATTCCCCGGAGTCAGCGGCCGAGACCTCCAAGATTCGCAGGAGGGACCCGTAGATCTAGGGAGGAAGGATAGCAGTGGGGTCCTACCTGTCCCACTACCGGTTTGGTGATCACGCGTGTGTGCACATGTGCACCTGAAGCACATGCACCTAAAGCACACGCACCTAAAACAGCTGATTGTCCCAGGATTTTTTTTCTTCCTCTCAATTAAGCCCATTAAGAGCTTTCCCTTACTGCTTATCCTTCTGAGGTTATTGGGGGCTCTCTGAGCCCCGCGGAGTCTTAGGTAGGGGCTCTCCCGAACCCCTGAGCCCCCAACAGCCCACCCCAGGGGCCAGATGAGACCAACCACTCTGAATGAAATGTAGTTTTTTCCTCATAATTAAGAGGGAATTCTTGTTGTTTCTGTCAAGCCTTTTCCAAACTCCTCCCCCTTTCATGGCCCAGAATGAAACCAGGGAGACCCCCACAGAGAAGGGAGATGCGGCCGCCCACTCCCCTCAGGTCCTGGGAGACTCCGAACCTGGTGGTTGGCTGGCAGGGCCCCTCCCCGCCGGTACCACACGACGGATGCTGTAGGGTGGCCGGCCACCACGCAATTCAGGTCCAAGGCCTGGCCTTCAGTGACCGAAGAAGATGAAGGTTCGATCTTGACAATGGGTGAGACGCCGGATGCTGAACAGACACAAAGGGCGGAGGGAAAGGAGGCAAGGACATGAGTTGCACTGCGAGGAGGCGAGTTTGAGTCCAGATTCGAATATGTTACCCTTGAGCTGACCACAACCGGCTCGGCGTTTTGCTCAAACCAGCCAGAGGTGCACGCAGAGGTCTCGCCTTACCCCGAATGACTGCCACTTCAATGCGGCCTCTGCCGACTCCCATCGGGCTGCTGCCCACACACAGGTACACCCCTCCGTCGGCAGCCGTGATGGAGGGAATCACCAGGGTGGCGATGTCGGTTCTCTCGGAGTGGGACTGGCAAGGCACAAAGGGAAACCATTGGGAGACCCTCAAGGGGCAGCTGGCTTCCCACCCTCCTGGGGGAAAGGAGTGCCAAGGAGCCCCTAAGGGGCCCAGAGCTGGGCAGATGCCGCCCGCAACATCCGTGAGCCCCCGGCACAAGCAAGAAAAGAGTGGAAGCAGCAGCAGGCGAGGGGGGACGTAGAAATCGGGGCGCAGCCAGCACAATCTGGGAGGGTGGGAGAAAAGCAAAACAGTTTGGGGTGGGGGGAGACCTTGCTTCTCTCCGCTGGAGAACCAGAGACCAAAAGCCAGAGGAGGAAGACGAGGCCGACCAGCAGAGCAATACGAGGGGCTCATGCAGAGGGATACCTGCTGAAGCTCCCGTATTTGCTGCCGGACGGCTTCCCAGCTGCCACTTTGGAAGTGGAAGAACCCAAAGACAGGAAGCGCCTGGCTCGGGAGGAGGGCAAGAGAGAGAAGGAGAGAGAGAGAGAGAGAGAGAGAGGAAGGAAGGGAGGGAGGGGACAGAGGCCGCCAGAAAGATCAGAAGCACCGAAAGAGGCGTCGCAGGCTGGGTCTGCTCCTGGCCCACCTCTTCCCCCGGGCAACCTCACCTGGACCCAAAGGGTCTGGGAGGGGCCCACCTCCCTGGGAGACCAGGCCTTACCTGGGGAGGCAAGCTGCCGCCCTCTTTCTCCCAGGTGATGGTGGCCGCTGGGGAGCCCGCAGCCCGGCAGTACAGTCTGACGGTGCTGCCCTCCTGCACCTCGGTCCGTTCGGGGCTCACCTGCACTTGGGGGACGCTGGTGCCTGCCCAAGAGCAAAGGGGAGATCAGCCCCCCCACTCCCTCTCTCAGACCGTCACGCCCATTTATGGCCTAAAGCTGGTTGCCTCACTTAAATTCACTGGGGAGATTTCTCGCCTTTGGCCAATTTGATTAGCTAACTCTTCTTCGGATGCGCGGTGGCCTAGAGGTGGAGCTCTCGCCTCACAATCCGGAGGCTGTGTGTTCGATCCTAGGTAGAGGCAGATATTTCTCTCTCTGGGCCCAATGAGAATATATCTGCTGAACAAAACTCCTCATTGGAGACAGGAAAGGCATCTGGCCAGTAAACACTCAGCTCCATTCAGTTGCACAGACTCTGCCGCACAAGGGATTATGAGGTGGTTAAAAGAAGAGGATCAGCTAAGTCTCTTTCTGCCTGATCCTCCTAGATGCCTCCTGGGAAGATGGACTCTGAGGCCCCCAGAAGAAGCCCCATTATCGTCAATCTCATGCTCAGGAAGGAAGAACAGAAGGGTCGCCGGGTGCCACCTCTCCCTGTCAGGTAGGTATCGGGCATCCACCTTGTGGCCCGGAGAGACACCACCTCAACTTACGTTGCACTTGCAGGAAAGCTCGGGCCATGTGCTGCCCAACGCTATTTCGCACTCGGCACAGGTACTGGGACTCGTCGGCAGGCTCCACCGCAGGGAAGTGCAGGGTCCCACCCTGGATAACAGCCTTGGGGGAAATCACGCCCCCGGGTCCTCCTGGAGCAGAGAGAAAAAAACCTTCCCAGTTGTCTGAATCGAGGGGATTTTCCGCTTATGGGTGCTGGATGGGCCCCTCCGTTCGGCCCCATTCCGGGCACAAAAGCGAGTCCTGGAACACCCAGGTGAAAACAGCACCGGCCAGCAAGCGACACACACAGAGATGCATCCTTTAGAACAGGGGGTGTCAAACTCAAGGCCTGCAGGCCGGATCGGGGTGCGTCGATCTGGCTCACGGAGCTGAGCTGGAAACAGCAAAGGGACTGGTCCACGCGACCCTCCCGAGCTCCGTTTTTGCTGGCAGAGCAGAGGTGGTCTTTAGCCGGTTCTGATCGGTTCTGGAGAACCGGTAGTGGGAATGTGGAGTCGTTCGGAGAACCGGCAAAAGAATCGCCTCTGACAGGCCCCGCCAACCCCATCTCTTCTCTGCCTCCCATCGAGTCCCAGCTGATCGGCTGGGTTTTCCTTGGGTTGCCCTGCCCAGGAGAACGGAGCTGGAAAGCAGGTTAGTGAGGTGGGGGAGGGAAGGGGGATTTTGCAGTATATCCTTCCCCTGCCACGCCTACCAAGCCACATTCACAGAACCAGTAGTCAAAATTTTTTCAATCCCACCACGGTGGCAGACGGTTGCAGGAGGACGTCGTGGCCGAAAACGGAGCTCGGGAGCCCATTTTCGCTGATAGAAGCGCTTGGGCCCCCCACAGGCACCCCTAACACGACGGACTCGAGCTGTCCAGGCCCACCCTGGCCCCCCGATGGTCCAACACAACCCTGATATGGTCCTCAGTGAAATAAGAGTTTGACACCCCGGCTTTAGAAGGATTCCCTGGCAACAGCACAATCCTTCGTTAAATCAATCGCTCTTTTTTTGGAACCACGAGACTCCTCAAATCTTATTTCCCCCGCACCTTGCATTTTGCATGCGTCGTTTGTATTTAAGTTACAGCTGAGGCAGGGGTGCCCCCAACCCACTACAGGGCTTTGAACTGTTTGGAATTGAGCCGTGCAGCTCCCGTGGTCTAGAAGTGGAGCTCTGGCCTCACAATCCAGAGGCCGTGAGTTCGACCCTAGGAAGAGGCTAATATTTGGAAATAAGACGCTCCTGCTCAACTCTGTTAGTCTATTCTACGGGAAGGGGGTGAGCGAGCGAGCGTGCATCCCCCCCCCACGAGTAGCGAGCGAGCCCGTGCACAAGGGCTCCATTTGCACGAGAAGCGAAACGTCTTCAAAGGAAAAAAAAAGTCGTAAAAGTGGGGATGGCCTCTCGAAAAGAGCTGAAGAAGCTTCTTGGACGAGAAGCGAAACGTCTTCAAAGAAAAAAAAAACCAGAAAAGTCCAGTGGCCTCTCGGAAAAAAAAAGCACATTTGAGACCACCACGACCGGGATGAGTTGAGACACGCTTGCTCTGTGTGTGTGTGTGTGTGTAAAAAGTTGATCTCAGGTCGATCCCCGTGGATATACACAGACCTGTCCTTGTTTGGCGTGCAACGGCTCAACCCAGAGGTGGTTTTTCACGGCTGCCTTCGGGACGCTTTCTCAACTGCCCAAAGCAGCCCCCCTAAAGTTTGCCCACTTGGTCTGAGCCTTCCGGGTTGCCAAGCCGAGGTCAGCCTAGACTATCTGGCCTGAAAGGGGGGAGGGGGGGTGTCTTACGAAGGCTTACCGCTCCATTCTATGGTGGGCTCTGGGCTTCCGGTCACGATGCAGCGAAACTCGGCTGGTTGGCCCGTCTGGACGCTCAGCTGGGAGGGTTCAATGGCGGCTGTGGGCTGGACAGCAGCGGCAGCTGCAGGAGGAAGCAGGTTCGGCTTGGTCAGAGCTGGGGAGGGGGGGGGTGGGGGGGGGGTGGAAGGTGCCCACAAGGATTCCAGAGCCAGGCTGAAATCCTTGGCAAGGCCCGAGACCCCTGCTGGAAGATGTGGGCTGAGCACATTGCGCGCATGCAGGCAGAGAACATGAGGCATGCATGGATGGAAACATGAACTAGAGGAACAAGGCCTGGGAGGGGGCAACGGAGCAGGGATGGAGGCAGAGGGGAGAGTCTGCCTACTCCGCCTTGCTGGCCTGTGAATAAGAAAGGCAACTCGGCATCCCAGAGAACGGAGGAGGAGGGGGAGGTTTAGGAAGTGGAGAAGAAGTGAAGGACAAAGAGTAGGAGGTAAGGAAGAGGGGGAAAGGGAGGAAGGCGGAAGAAGAGGAGAGAAGGACGGGGGAGAGGAAGAAGAGAGGAAGGAGAATGAGGAAGAGGAGGAAGAGGAGGGGAAGAGGGAGAGGAAGGAGGAAGAGGAGGAGAGAAGGAAAAGAGAAGGGGGAAGAGTAGGAGGTAAGGAGGAGGGGGAAGAGGAAGAGAAGGAGGAGGAAGAAGAGGAGGGAGGAGGAGAGAGGGAGGGGAGAGGAAGAAGAGAAGGAGGAGGAAGAGGATGAGAGAGGAGGAAGAAAGAGGAGAGAAGGAGGGGGAAGGAAGAAGAGAAGAAGGAGAATGAGGAAGAGGAGGAGAAAAGGAAGAGGAAGGAGGAGGAGGGTGGAGGTGGAGGAAGAGGAGGAGGAGGAGAGAAGGAAAAGAGAAGAAGGAAGAGGAGGAGAGAAGGAGGGGGAAGAGGAAGAAGAGAAGGAGGAAGAAGAGGCTGAGGAAGAGGGAGGAGGAGAAGAGAAGGAGAAGGAGGAGAGAAGGAGGGGGAAGAGGAAGAAAAGGAGAAGGAGAAGAGGGAGGAAAAGGAGGGAAAAGAAGAGAAGGAGGAAGCGGATGAGAGAGGAGGAAGAGGGAGAAGGAGGAGAAGAAAGAGAGAAGGAGGGGGAAGAGGAAGTAGAGAAGAAGGAGGAGGAAAAGGAGGGAGGAAGAGGAGGAGAGAAGGAGGGCAAAGAGGAAGGAGGAGGAGGAGGAGGAAGAAGAGGCCGAGAGAGGAGGGAGGACGAGGAGAAAGGGAGAGGAGGAGAAGAGGAGGAGGAGGAGAAGAGGAGGAGAAGGAGGAGAAGAAAGGCCAAACAGCACCAGCCAACAAGCAAAGTGGGGTTCCAATGGGGGAGGTGGACAGGCACCTGCAGGCCAAACTGACTTACAAGGTCTGTGGCCTTCCACCATTTCTACGGGACCATAGAACATCTGAGTCTTCGATGGAGCTGAAAACAGGGTTGGGGGGGGGGGCAGAGGGGGCCGCGTGTGAAAAGGTGGCTGCGTGTTGAGCTGCCTCAAGCAGGAACCTTGCGAGTCCAGGCGCCGCTGTCTTAAGAGACGGGCCTCCCGTCCCCAAAAGCTTCTCCCCGCCCCCCCAGATTTCCCCTCCTGCCCTCCACTCGATGGATGAGAGCAGAAGCGTGTCTTTGCGTGAGCCTGCGAGGAAGCGGCTGGTCCCGGGGTGGCGGCCCGGATCAGCGTAGTGCTCGGGAGATGTGGGCTGGTGGGCCAAGCCGGAGAGGAGGACTCCCTCTCCCTGGCAGCCGGCAGGCGCGAGAGCTGCAACCCCACCTTGCACGTAGAGGGTGGCCATCCCCTCGTCCATGTCAAACATGTTGGAGCCTGTGCAAATGTAGATGCCGGCGTCCTCCGGCTGCACGTTCCGGAGAGTCAGGATGCCGTTGAAGTCCATGGCGCGGCTGGGCAGCTTCCCGTTGTTCTGCCGTGTCCACACCAGCGTGTAAGCGGGGGACTGCAGGAGAAGGCAGGAAGTGGGCGGGTGAGAGAAACAAGGGTGGGTGGGTGGGAGAAGAGGCAGGAAAGGGCCCAAATGCACCCACCCTGCCCGGTTTGGGAAGGGGAGGCAGCGTCTGCGGCTGGACGTCCAGGGGGAGTCTCGGCATGCAACCGCGGTGGTACTTGCACTTCCCCTGGGCACCGTTGTGCCACTGCAGGCCTCGCCAGGCCCTCTCGGATCTGACCTGCTAGACTTCTGCTTTTCCTTGGCAAGGATCCCCCCCACACCTCTCTCTCTCTCCCACCCCCCAAAGACTCACCTTGCTCCTGGCCGTGCAGAGGAAGGTGACGTCGCTGCCTGCTTTCACGTTCTGCACCTTCTGCTCTTCCACCGTCACGGAGATGGCCTTGCTGGGGCCTTCTGCGCTGGCCGAGAGAAGCCGGTCAGCATTGCCCAGCCGGTCCTGACCCAGCTCTCTCTCTCTCTCTTTATCTCTCTCTCCCGTTCTCTCTCTCTCCCTCTTTCGAGGGAGCCAGCCCATGTCAGGTATGCTGGAGAGGGGGTTCCCCTTACATGCCTCCCTGCGCCCGGCAGCCCAGTTTCTGAGTAGCTTCCGCCTCACCTGTGACGACGACCTCGCTGCGGCTGGAGTTGGTAAAGTGGGGGTTTCGGCAGGTGCAGACGTAAACACCGGCCTCCGAAGGCCGGATGCTAGCGAAGTGCAACTCGACGCCTGCGGAGGGATTCAGGAATGACTGAGTCAGAAACCAGCCAGCCGCTTTGCCTATAAGCAGCGGTGGGACTCAATTTTTTTTTACTACAGGTTCTGTGGGCGTGGCTTGCCTTGGTGGGCATGGCAGGGAAAAAGGTTACTAAAAAATGCCCATTCCCTCCCCACCCCACACTAGCCTGTTTTCCAGCTCCGTTCTCCTGGGCGGGGCAACCAAAGGAGATCCAGACAATTGGCTGGGACTCGAGAGGCAGAGAATAGATGGGGTTGGCAGGGCTAGTCAGAGGTGGGATTGGCCGGTTCTCCGAACGACTCAAAATTTCCG